TTTGCACTAAAAGTACTTGCATGTGTTGAAAATTTTATGCAAAGAAAAGCTCTTCATCTTTTAAGCTTGAGAGCAGGTTGATTATAATTTGAGTGCGAGTCGCAGTCGTTTGCATGGGCCATATTTAGGAGAGGATGAATTCAAATGCAAATCTTCCTCTATTCAAAAGAGGAGAAAATAAAACCTGAAAAATTATGGATTTTTACAACAGGGCAATGATGCTCAGTCTGTATCATAATCATCAACATCTAATTTACAGGGTTGAGTCATTTTAATGGTCTTTTGTGAATTTTACAGGCTCCAGACCTTAAATTTGGCAACATTCAGTGGACGTATTGCAAAAGAGAAGAGCAAACTACACAAAAAAATCTATAAGAAGAAGAAAGGTTTTTCAGAGAAAATGTGTAAAACTCCCATTCAACAATTTAAGTGATTCAAAAAGGAGTTACAAGCTGTAATACATGTCAAAGGGGTTTTCCACTTTTTTCTTTTTTGTTTAACTAGCATCCTCAGAGAAAGAAGTTGTTTTACAGAACTTATGTTTGTCTAACGTAAAGAACCATCAAAAATCCCTCCTAGATTTCTAACAAAGGGACAGTGGTGCGAAGCCAGCAGACTGAGAACACTAACAACTCTATCACAGGGATTTTTTTTATTTTTTATTACAAAATATCATATTCTCTGTTATATTAACACTTGCATTTAGGAAATTCAGTTCAATGCATGCTTGAACATTCTTTAGACAGTTTTGCAGAGTCATGTCATCTTGAAGAAGGTTTGACTATGTGAATGTTGCAAAGCAGTGAAAGGCAATTTTATATTCATTTAAGAGTGTTAACAAGGACAAAAAAACACTGCCTAGAATTGAATCTTGAGGGACACCACAGTGTATTTAAACTGCTGCTGAGGAGTAAGACAGACAGAGATGGTCCTGCCAGCCCAGCTGAAGTGTGAAAACCCATAGAATTAATTTTAACTTTTAATTACATATTTATAGGATATGTTATTTTTCTATGCTAGGCGTCCATCGAACAAGAATAAATCACAGTACATGAAAAGGTTCCTCTTAAAACCAATTTTACAGCTTTACAGTCATTGTTTTCAGAATATAACTTATTTTACTCGACCATAAATAAGTGAAAACTTTTTTATTACCATGCTTTTCTTAATAACATTTATGCAGCTAGTTAGCAAGAAAAATATTTAGGTAAATGTGACTTTTTCAGCCAAAGGCTGAGAATGAAAATGTTCCCAGAACTACTTCAGTCCTGACAGTAACGTTTCGTGGATCATCAGTTGCGGGGATCAAATGAACAAATAGTGATCCACTTTGTGTATTTGTTGATGGAACTCTGTTCTGCTGAGGTCTTATTTAACGTTATTATCAATTGCTCCAGTAAGAACAAACTAGAGTGACAGACTCAAATAATCCAGAGAGAGCGAGAAATATGTGAGAGTCTATCAGTCAGTCAAAAGTCTGTAACAAAATGCTGCAGCCATGAGCTGCATTGCTCCAGACACATGCTCTTAAAGCCTGTCTTGGGAAATTATGGATCAGACTGGAGTGTCAAATGGCTGTTGCTTCTGAATTATGTGACCTATCTGACAGCAGTTAATGAGGTAGTCAGTGAGCTGGGGGGAGAAATATGATGGATCTACAGCATCACATGGCACATCAAGCAGAAGCAATGGTCTCCTGAAGCAACTTTTAGCTTTACAGCTACATGATGGACAGCTATTTTTCAGGGTCAACTTTTTAAAAAGAAAATTAAAAAAAAGGTTGAATAACTTAGCTTTAATATCAGACTTCAATATTAAAGGGAGTGGGTGGGAAAGAAAGTGAGGATGTAAACATTCATATTGGAACGCGTCCCACAGTGGGACGCGTACCGTTTAGGCTGTTTACTGTTCGTCTCTGCTAAGCTGCTACATTCTCACAAGCATGTGGTTTGCCTTTTTCTCTAGTCTTTTACCTGCTATCAGACTTTACCTGCTTGGCTTTAAGGTCCTCTTGTCTCAGCTGTTAAATCAACCATTAAGACTGCCAGGTCAGTTCATTTTTGTTTCTTATGCCCGTTATTCACAATTTTAGTTTTGGTTTCGGTCTGTAAAGGAAGAAGCAGATAATGAATGGATGGATGGAGAGATGTACGGAAGCGTATTGCTGTCACGGAAGAAATTAAATAACTCTGTTGACACATTACTGACGAATGCCAAAGTAAAACTGAAGAAAATCGACTCGGCTTGTTTCGTGCTAAGCTATTGCTAAGAGCTAGTTTAAGAAAAAGTGGAAACAAGAGCTGAACAATGTTTTGTGTCCCTTTTGAAGCTTGCCGAATTGACCAGGATTTCGTAAAAGTTACAGCAAACCTCAAATATTTTATTGAAATTGTTTATATTTTGCCCACGCGAAATGTAAATTTAAACGCCTGCTTTTTATAATGCAGTTTGGGCGTAGGTGGAGGTAGCACCGAACTGGACTCAGCGCATCGACAGTAAAGTGATCTGTTGCTGAATTCTAGTTAAAGTTACTCATTGCAAAGTGTAAAATCAAACGTAAAAATGTTATCATGATGTATATCTAATCATGCCGTTTGAAAGAGTTTAACATGCAAAAACTGAAATGCAGGTACGCACTTAGTGTAAACAAAGCACACGAGGGCGCTGCCGCTCTTGATATTTTTGTAATCACGTTTTTTTCAGAGTTTTTCCATCATCCTTGTACGCACAAAGCCTCAAGTCACATATTCAAGCGGATCCATGCGTTTGTGTTAACAGATCCGTTTGTTGCAGATGATTTGTGCACGCACATTTGACATTTATGCGTAGCATTATATTTCGACGTGTGCAGTTTGGGATGTGCACATTTCAAAACTGGCCATGCATTTGTGGGTCTGCGGTAGCTTGGTGGTCAGTGGTGTGATCTTGTAATCCTGAGGTTGTGGGTTCGAGCCCAGGTTGCGTCAGGAAGGGCGTCTGGCATAAAACAATTGTCAAATCTTCAGTGCGAGGTCGCTCGCTGGGGCGACCCCTGAAGAAGGGAGCAGCCGAAATAAACGTATTACTTTTTCCTGCAGTACACACAGAAATCATGTACGGTTTTGTGAACACTTTTTAGACTAATTAATCTGTATGTCCATGACTTTGCAATGACTAATTTTAAGTGACATACAGTTGTATTGTATTTTTCTCTTATTTATAATTTATTCTAAACAAAATTCAAGTTCAATTAAAAAATTCTGTATTGGCTGGCTTTGAAAGTAAGTGTTGCGTTCTCAGCTAGAACATTTAAGTACAAAAAATAAACGATGTATATTTAAACTTTTTTTTTTTTTTTAAGGTAACTGGATTTAAAATGTTTATTGTATGTTGGTTTTTTTTTTGTACATTAAATAAAACCTTTACTAAAAATACACATTTCATGTTTCTGAAAATATAACTGTTAAGAGAATTATTAACGTTTGGGAGACAACCATAAGTTTACTCATAAATGTTGTATTTTGCTTTTCTTTTGTTGATGTAATGAATTAACTACACAGACCACATTTCTTTTATATTCTGTAAATACTGTGTTAATTTATATTTTTGTAATCTGCATACCATATTTTGACGCTGTCCAGTATGAGTTTACTGTGGTGCGAGTTTGTTAATGATCTTTACTCAAACTATTTAATTCAATAATAATAAAAGATACTGACACCATTTGTACATTTGTTCTAACTAAAGTCCTACAATATGATGATGAAACAATAAAATTTATAGACTTGTTATACATTTTTGTAATGTCGATAAAACATTTTTGCATGCCATTTACAGAGCAGGCTAACCATAAATAAACCCCATTTCAAATAAAATTTTCATATCTGTGTCCTCTTCTGACTCACCAGTGATGCCCAGACAAGATGGCAGGGTTGCCATAGTGACAGGAGGAGGCAGGGGAATCGGCTATGAGGTAGTCCGCCACTTGGCCAGACTCGGGGCGCATGTTATCATTGGTATGGTATGAATCACCTCACCACTAACAACTAAACACAACTATGCAGCTTTTAAAGTTAAAGTTTCACAAATACATTAATTGCTTCCCTATGTTTTAATTTACCCCTCTCCCATATAAATGGCTTTGTCAATTTATTATTTTGCACATTTTATACTCTAATTTATAAGACAACTGACAGCAATCTAAACATTTTTTAACAATCAGACAAAATAAAGCTGCGCTGCAGTTTTTCCTCACTGGTCAGCTTGTGGTTAATCTGCGACAGTGGCTGTATTACAATCAACGAGCAGCTAGATGTTAATCACAGAGTCCCTGATGAGTTTAACCACCAGTTTTATTTTTATTAACATTATCAGTGAAATACTGTGGTGGTTTTCTCCTACATGCGGCAGAGCTCACATTTCTGGTAATAATGGTGACACCTTTCCTTTGAGGTCCACCTGGCCTCCTCCCAGTGATATCAGAGCTCTGCAGAGCACTGGAAAGTAAGTTGTTTCAACACATTTTTCCTACATGCTCCAACTTTAAAAAATATATTTCACTGTAACAATAAAGCAGCAAAGTTACCGGTAATCACAATTTAGTTGTCAGCAGCCCAACCTGCCCGTAGCTTGTAACATCAGTCCAGAAATGGCTGCTCAAAGCTTGTATATATCAAGCTTTGAGCAACTCCTTGGTATGCCTGTCACAATGAACAATAAATCAATTAATCACTTGATAAATGAACATTATCAACCTCATTTATTGGCTTTATCGTTTCTTCGTGTCTCTCTTTCTACTGAAGACACTGGATGACAAAAGATTCAACTCTGGTGCTCTTCACTGACCCCTCCCTTTCTATTTTCTCTTCAAAATCTGTTTTAACGATCCAAAATCGCGTTTTTTGGATCGTTAAAAGCAGCTAAGCTGAGAAGCTAAGCTACGAGCTAAGCTAACAGGCCGACCTCGGGGAAAAAAACCTCCGTCTTGTCAAAGCTCCAAAATTCACTGCTGAAACCCGTGCCTTTGTCTAAAAAGTTGTTTTTCGCTGCAAAAAGAAGCTGAGAACTTGTTTACTGATTTTTTTTAAATTAAAACTTTTGTGTGAAAAATGCTATGCTAAAGAGCTCAAACCACACCGAGCGTCCGCCATTTTGAGAACCGAAATAAAGGAGAGACAGCCCATGTCATGTCAAGGGGCCTCCCTCCCATTTTCTTAAAGAGACACGCTGCTCGCTCCCTCACTATCCATCCTTCGGTTCAAACAGTCTTATACTGCCAGTGGTCAAAAAAAGGTACTGCACACAAAAATTAACCAATATTTCTTCTTAAATTTGGCAATAATTACAAATTATTGTCAACATTTTTAAACATTATTATCGTTTATTGCAATAATTTTTCAATTAATCGCCCAGCAAAATTTGTTATCGTGACAGGTCTGCTCCTTGGTTTAACACCATCCATTCATCCATTGACTTTACCCGCTTCTTCCTTTTTGGATTGTGGTGGTCACTGGTGTCCATTTCCAGCAGTCACTGTGTGAGAGACTGGGTACACCATGGGCAGGTCTCCAGTCCATCACAGGGGACACTCGCTCACACCTAGGGAGAATTTAGAGTTACCAATCAGCCTAAAATGCATGTTTTTGGTCAGTGGGAGGAGACCGGACTACCCAGAGAAAACCCACGCATGCACGGAAAGAACATGCAAACTCCACCCAGAAAGGCCCACGGCCGGAATCCATTCCTGCAACCTTGCTGAGAGGCGACAACTTTACCAACTGAGCCACCGTGCCACATGTTTAACACTATAGTAATCTCAAATCATTGATTTTGTATTCATTTTTTATCACAAACAGCCTACTATTGGACACCAGGGGTTGCCTGTCCAGTCAAAAAACAAACAAAACAACAGCAATACAATATAACAAAAAAAGCAGAACAGAAACCGTGCTAATATATTGACAATTCTCCATCATGAAATTGGACCCCACTCACCCAAGACACAGACTTTTTGCCCCGCTTCCCTGAGGAAGGAGGTTGAGGAGCATTAAGTGTAGAACCACTAGACTGAGGAACAGCTTCTACCCTGAGGCTGTTAGACTCATGAATCTCTAATCAGGATAATCACTGTGGAAAAAATCACATCATGTTGCTGCGTTCATGCGTGCTCATCTGCTCACACAGACTCATGTTCGTGCTGCTGTTTGGCGTAATGTTTTTATGCTATTAGTGCTTAGTGTAGTTTTAGTTAACATTTTTTCTTAGTTCATATCTTAGAGCTTATTACTGTTTTTCTTTTAAATTTTATTGTTGGATGTAACTGGGACCCTGTGTACATAATTTTGTTCCACCACACGTACCACATGGTGCGAATGACAATAAAGAATCGCTGAATAAAACTGAAACCTGTGTCCCAACTCTAGTATGATGTCATTAATTCTTCACTTTTTCATTGTGTCACTCTTAAAAATATAAATTTACCAACGTAAATCAATATTTGAATTTTTTTAATTTATTATTTATTTATTAAATCTCTATAGCCTTTCTTCCTGTTAGAATTTCAGCATTGCAACTAATGTGTGTCTGTGGAGCAAACAACTCACAAGAATCAATTAACGCCTTAATTTTGTTGTAAAGACGATGAGATTTGTTCACTCTGTAGGAGCTCAGTAGGACATTACTCTGACTTGTTAATCAATTCCTTCATTAACTTTTGCCTGTGATCTTTAGGTCAGATAGCCTACCTCCCTGACTGACTGGTGACTTCTAGTTTCTATTTTATGTGTGATATGAAAAGGTTAAACAGAAAACTATCAGCATATTTTCCAATAGGTTGGCTTCTTAAAAACATATATCTCCCTGCTATACAAAGTAGAAACATGCTTTTGATATACATGTAGTGTGTTCAAGTGCACACTTACAAAATTACACAAATCACCCAACTATTAAAGGTAGAAACACATATGCCATGTCTTCCAGATGTTAAAATGTAGAGAAACATGTTTTTGTTCAGTGTGTTTCAAGTATGCATATACTGGCCGAAAATGCCTTTTATTCCAGCTGTTAAAGGTAGGAACATGATTTTGACCGGTGTTCCAGTACACACATACTTACAAAACCAAGCGTCTCCCAGCTGTTAAAGGTAGAAATACATTTTTGTTTAGTGTGTTCAAGTACTCGTGCACTTACAAACATATGCCTCGTCTCCCAGCTATTAAAACGTAGCAAAACTCATTTTTCTACAGTGCGTTCAAGCAAGCATGCGCTGGCAAAAAATGTCATGTCTCCCAGCTGTTAAAAGTGGAATCATGGTATTGTACAGTGTGTTCAAATAGCTTTTTTTTTTTTTTAATATGCCATGTCTTCCAGTTGTTAAAGAGTACACAAACATGTTTTTGTACAGTTTGTTCTTAGAAGCATGTACTAGCAAAAATATGCCATGTCCTTCAGCTATGACAAGGTAGAAGCACATTTCTGTAGCGTGTTTGATTAAGAATGTACTGTGCTCATGATTTCCTTTTCAACCCATACCTTCAGTAACTAGGGGCGCACCGATAAATCGATCAGCCGATTTAGCAACCCCGATTTCCTTAATTTTGGGAAATCAGAGATTGGCCTATACTTATTACGAGAATATTTAAATTTTAGCCAAATGTTTTTAGGATTTTGGAAAGGTACGCCTCAATAACATGAGTAAGGACACAAAATGTATATCAAGCAAACACAAATGATCCAGCCAATACTTGTTTTGCATCTGCAGTTCCTCAATTGCAGTATGCTCAAGGAAATCCTTTAAAACATGATTATATTGTCTGTTTTTGTAGAGAAAGGCATTTACAAATATATATATATATTTTTTATTGGATCTTCTAAGATTCATCTGTAATTTCATGGTTTCTGTTTTAGAATATGTATTGGTATGATTTGAGCCATATATTAATTAGATTTACTACATATGAGAGTGGACAGAGGGGAGTGGTGGCACAGAGATTTGAGAAGGTGAGCCTGTGATCTGAAGGTTGCTGGTTCAAATCCCCAGACCGAAAACATCAAATGTGGGTGGGAAAGGTGAAGTAACCTGCCTTCACCCTCATCTGCCCCAACCGGGTCTGCCCCGAGCTCAAACCACACCGAGCGTCCGCCATTTTGAGAACCGAAGAGAGACAGCCCATGTCACGTCAAGGGGCCTCCCTCTCGCTGCTCGCTCCCTCACTATCCATCCTTCGGTTCAAACATTCTTATACTGCCATCCGGTGATCAAAAAAATGATACACCGAAAGCAAATTAACCAACATTTGTTTTTAAATTTGACAATAATTACTAATTATTGTCAATTTTCAAACAATATTATTGTTTATCACAATAATTTCTGAGACAATTAATCGCCCAGCAAAATGTGTTATCGCGACAGGCCTACTCTCTACTCCACACAGAGGGTTGTGGGTGTGTCAGGAAGGGCATCCAGCATAAAAACAATTGCCGGATTTCAGTGCAAGTTGTATCACTGTGGCGACCCTTGATGAAGGGAGCAGCTGAATAATAATTAAAAAAAAAAACATGAGTGGGCAATGTTTGAATAAATCAATCACACATGAAGTCAGCCAAGTCTCTATTCTAGTCTGAGACAGTTCTTTGTGTTTTTAGGATAATTTGGCAGCTGGTGACTGCATGTATCTCCATGGTGAATACACCGAGTGAATTCATGAAGTGAGAATATTTATAATGAAGTGGATCCCTCAGTGGAGTAGATGCATATTTCAGGTGGAGTGTTAGCATAGCGCTTCCATGAGGAGAGCACGTTTCGCATCTCTGCACTATCAAATACTAGATGAATACCAGTGTTCATTATTTTCAAGATAGCGCAGAGAAAAATCTTATTCTTGTAGTGAATGGAAGACTTGGTGCTAGGGAACATTTATGAATGAAAAATTGGAACTATGCCTGTGCATGACAGTGTTACTGTGAATTAAAAAGCAGAAATACAAGGCAGGCAGGATTCATGAGGAATAACTGGTTT